GGTTAAGATAACCGAGTATCCAGTTTGGTAATATACTGTAATGATACTTTGATACGGCGTTAAAAAACATTATTATACATTAGAAAAATAGCTCACATCAAAACCTTCACCGAGTATTCACTTCCAGCGAAGGTTTTCCGTCTTGAAATATCGAACGCCTCACTGGTTGACACATAGCTGAGTAGATCTAGATCCTAACAAGGTTATTTTATGTAATGAGTGGATTATTTACTATTTGTGTTGATTAGACTACTCCTGCTCACGACCTTATAATCCAGACATCCCGCTTCCAAGCTGCGCTAGCCTATTTCACTGCGTATGTGCTATGAGCGCAGCCCAGCACAGCGCAGCACAGCTGTTGAAACCACTTTTCACCCCAAGCTCTGGAGTGAATTTAGTGAATCGTTTGAACTCCAGTTTCACGGTTATTTTTCATCGCGTTATTTTTGAATTTGCATTGTTTATGATTTGTATCTGTAAATCCATACCAACAGGTATCAGAATCTGCAAAGCTGTGTTTTACGTTGCATTTGACCTTTAATGAGTGTGTGAGTGAGTTTTCGCCGTTTTTAGCAATATTACAGCAATATCACGGCGAGGGACACCAGAAATGGGCTTCACACATTGTGAGTGAGTGCTTGAGTGAGTGTGTTATTATTTACCGTCAGCTCGGCAATATTTCAGCCATATCGTGAGGAGAACCCCCACATTGTGACTATATGGGGCATCGAACAGGGGCATTGGGGTGACGAGAGAATGCCTTGACCACTAGGCCAACCCACCGCTCCTATTTGTTAATGAGGTTCTGAAGTAGTGCACTTTTCAGAAAGTGCTCGTCTCATGCCAACTGTTCCTTAAAGAATAAATAGACCAATGTAGATACAGATGATGGACAACAGGTTTTGCGTTACAAGTTTATTAATGGAGATACAAATATAATACGTTCAAACTGAAAAGTTTACAGCTAGAGCAATATATATGTGGTGCATAAACATGGATAATGCATTATATACTTTTAGAAGACAACCGTTATAACACACAGTAAAATGAATACGTCCTTTTAAATACGTAAGCTGAGACACGGATACATAGAATACCTGTTTAAACAAGACACAAGCCTTGCCATCGTCAGTTAGATGTATGTTATAGCAATGATTAATTATCATAGGATGATTACTTAACTAACGTTATCTAATACCATGTTGACTAATGGCGGGTCATACATAAGCTTATATTTTACTACTCACGATAAGAACAATAATATAAAAACCGATGAAATTGAATAAGGGAACGCATGTGTATCGCACACAAGGTCTCGCACACTACAATTGAATTGTCAGTATCCGGTGTGTCCCCCAGATCACTGCATTGGGACACTTTCGATCAAATTCCGGATTACAGCTAGGTGAATAACCTGCCACTCCTCTTGGAGAGCTAGGAACATGGCGCCACTTCTCTGAGGCTGTACAGTGCGGGATCTGACACGACGTCCAAAAACGCCCCCAAAGGTGTTCAAGGGAGGTTAGATCTGGACTTCGATGGCCACGGTAGAACTCTGATGTTGTTTTGCGCCAGAAAATTCCTGCATACGCGAGCAGTATATGGACTGCCATTGTCGTGCTAGAACTCGAAATTCCCACCTGTCCTACGCTGGGAATAACTACTAGCTGCAGCATTTCATCTCTGTATCGCACACCTGTTTTCCTTTCATCTAATCGCACTAGATCAGTTCTCCGATCGTAGGTGATCCCACCCAACACCATCACTGATCCACCCCCATATCGACCATGCTGTTTTACAGTACATTGGTGATGACGTTCATGGAGACGTCACCACACACGGATACGACCATCTGCAAAGTCCAAATTGAAGCGTGACTCATTGCTGAACATGGTATAGAGCCAATGTCGCAAATATCTCACACGAATCCTGCTTAGCCCAATCTCATTTCCGACGTCTGTGTTCTGCAGAAACCTGAATGCCCATAACTTGTTTACGTGATTTTAAGCCGGCTGATTTGAGTCGATTGCTAACTGTACGATTGCTTATTCGTAACTGTGTTGTTGCTCTGAAACCAGTGTTTATTTTCGAAGCTGAATTGAACCGGTTTCACAAGGAAATGAACAGTATATGACGATCGTCACGTGCGAACGTTTTTTTTTTATTGGGACCACGACCACGTCCACGACCACGACCACGACCACGTCTTATCTTAACGTCGCCTGTCTGGTGGCATAAGTTCCACAGTCGCGATATCACACTTTTTGACTAGTTACAGTCTCTTGCTGTCTGACAAATTGATCTCCCACCGTTGATGCTCCTGATTGCCGGCCATTTCTTATTAAGAGACATGGTATCGATGTGGCATGAGTTTAAGGTCCTGAGTGACTTGCTCAGTCGTGGCTCTGTAGTGTTAAAATTGTTCCCACGCTTTTATAGTCCTCGTGCTTAAACTGCGCGTGAACAATGACCCATGAGGATGCGTTTGGGGGCAATGTTTTCAATCCATTATGGCTAAATTGTTCCTTAAACATTTGGAACAACACCGCCTTTTCACCAAGTAGGCGTTCCCTTATTCATTTCCCTCAGTATATATTCACAGTGTCAATACACATTAAACATTTACATGCTGAACATATAAAGAATACAACGTTGAGTAGATACCAACAGGTAAAGTAGGGGTGACTTAAAGAAGAAGTAGGAATAATGTAGTTACAGACAACATAGAGCAAATCACATTTAGAAAACAATTGCTTTGTACTACATTGAATCTTGTTTGTCCTTTGATGGTTACTTTTTGAAGAATTATCTTTTCAATAAGCTATATCCCCAGACAGTGAGTTCTGACTTCTGACACCGGTTTCCAGTAGGTCACCAAGTGAACACATTTTAAAGTGTGTATTGTGTGGGGAATGAAATATGATTTATATATTAAAACATAACGTAACTGTATCACTGTCGGGAGTCAAACTAATTTTCTCCAGTGTATAAAACAAGAAAGTTTTTGAGAAATATGTTTAAATTTTTGAATATTTTAACACATCTTAACACAATGATGTCTAGTTTAGGGGTTGCCTTTGCTTGTTCCCACCATTGACACCTTCATTTAGACAAACGGAAACTTTCCTCCTTCGTGGCATAATCCCATTATCACCCCTATACTAAAACCTGGCCGGGATCATACGTATCCTACAAATTACCACCCTATATCAGTAAATAGCTGTGTTTGTAAAACCATCGAGCGCATGGTCAACAATCGATTAATCTGGAACTTGGAGACCAATAACATCCCTAGTGAGCTCCAATGTGATTTCCAAAAGTACCAAAGTACCATTTTATCAAAATTTATAAAAAATTCCATTGTCAACAATAAACATACTGCATCTATCTTTTTCGACTTAAAAAGGCATATGACACAACGTGGAAACATGGTATCAGCTATCTTTAGGGATTTTCATGGATTCGGATTGAAGACAGATTACCTCGGTTCGTATCTCAGACAATTGCAAGCACGGTCGGGGTCCACATTATTTGACTATGTCCACCAAGACCAGGGCGTCCATCAAGGTAGCTTCCTGTCTGTCACACTGTATAGCTTCAAAATTAACACCATCACTAACGTCTTGAACAGTTGTTTTGATGGGTCCCTTTTCGTGGACGATTTCAATATTTCATGCCGTGGTAAGAATATGCACGCAATAGAAAGGCACCTACAACTCGGTCATAACAAAATCAAAAAAATGGCGAATGAAGGTGGCTAAAAATGACAAAATCCAACACAAATTGTATTCACTTTAGTCGTAACTAGAAACAACACAAGGATCCAGACCTATCTTTAGATGGTACTCCCACCACAGTAGAAGAAGAGGCCAAATTCCTGGGACTCATATTAGACTGTCACTTGACATTCTTACCCCACATAAAATATTTGAAAACAAAGTGCTTGAAGGCTCTTGATTCGCTAAATGTCGTTTCAAATACAGAGTGGGAATGGGATCAGACTTCCCTCCTTCATTTGTACACATCATAGGTTCGCTCTAAATTATATTATGGCACAATTGTCTACGATGGAACCTGCAAAAGCAATTTAGTACAATTGGATTCTGTCGACCACCCAGGCCTTAGGCTCTGTCTGTCTCTCCGGCAGACAGTCTGTATGAGGAGGCTAACGAACCTGCCCTTGAACAACGCAGTATTAAACTTTCAGTGCAGTATATCACTAAATTACGTTGAAATAAGTCCAATCCTGCATACACTTGTAAAACCCTCTCTATGAAAACCTATTTCCTAATCTGCCAAGCCTGGTTCCACCACTAGTATCAGAATTGGACCACGCATATCTGCAGCTAACACTGATCTCAATAACATAGCACCTTGCCACCCTGGCAGATAGTGAAACCACAGGTCAGTCTTACCCTCACCAAACTCAAACAGTGAGAAACAAATCCTTTGGTGTGTCAACAGGAATACAACCATTTATGTTCCAAGTATAACACCCATAGATCCATTTTCACAGACGAATCCAAGGATGATTGCCAAGTTGCCAGTGTCAGAGTCATTGGATCCAAGATTGTCTCCTCAAGAATTCCTGTCCTGTCCTGTTCCATTTTCACTGCTGAAGGCAAAGCTATCTTCACAGCTTTGACCTATATCAAACAGCAGAATGATTCCAAAAACTTCACTATCTTGCCTTCAGGCACTTCAAGATGTTAATTCAAGTCACCCGTTCGTCCTAGACATTTTAGATCTTTCTACTGGCCAATGCGACATCGTCCTCTGCTGGTTGGTCACGACTATCTGAAATGTTCACCTTCAAGCATGGACTTTTCGACTGCAAGGCATTCACATTATGATGCAACAAATCTGAAAGATCTGTTTTCCTGCGTGAGCGAGCATCTCATTGTAAACTACCTGTGGATAGTTGACCTGTATCATACAATATATGTCATATAACACTTATTAAAGCAATGTTACAAATACACTTTTTCATGATGGACAGTAGAGTAATTAGATCGTAAGAGTTACTTTAAGAAAACATCATTATTTAAAAAAACACTTTTCATATTCAAATCGTTCAGTCTGAAGGACACTGAACATTGTTGATCGTATACACATTCAGTCTGAAGGACACTGAACTCTTTTGATCGTATACACATTCCAGGATGCATCACTGACAGGGTCATGTGCCACGGCCAGCATCTCGCATCTGACCACGCCCATGGACGGTAACCCGAAGTTTAAGGCGTTGCAGGAAGCCTTTCTGAGACACCTGCTGGCACACTCGAATTTCCCGATGTTTTCATAGCTGGCGATGATGTAGTGAGGCTGCCTTGCCATTGCAGTGTGACGACTGAACACGACAGATGAATCTGGAACATATCAAGTGATGTAAATTCTAAAAGTAATAAATAAAGTTTAAGATATACACTTAAAAGCCCATCAACATCTATCTCTACCAATTTGTGTGTTTGTGGCTTGTTTCTTTCTACTTAGGAATCTTAACTTCTTCACGATGAACTAGGTTTTTTTCACTTAGTTACGCTCTTACCACGGTACGGGACGTATTGCAGTACAAGGCCTTCGGTTCTGTCCGTCTCGTTTTGTTATATGTGATATGATCATAAAACCAACAAATGATAATAATAGCCAAACCTTACATTGTTTAATAACTTGCAAATAATAGTCATAATCTTTGCTATTTTGAATGAACAAAACTGTCATTTCACGACTAGACATCCCTAGTACGGTGATCTACCTTCAGCTGTTGGCGATCTATAGCCAGTTTTTATGTTGTATTGTCCAAATAGTGTAATTAGTTTTAAAATGTCCATACTAGTTTTAGTTATAATTGTGATATTCTAGTTGTTTTACTCTCCTTCGTCGACAGGTTTAAATAATATATTCCATTTCAATGTCAATTATGTTCTCGTCACGATATGGCTGAAATATTGCCGATGTGACGTTAAATAATAACTCACGCACTCACTCACGACTAGACAGAAGAACTAAAGTATCACTTGAACCTAGAAGCTCAAAGCTGTGCAGCAAAATAGCAATTAGACAAGTATGATTAAAAATCTCTAACATTACATCAACATCTACTGCCGTGAACTCACCACTGTGTCCCAGAAATGTCCATGTTTTAATAACACGATACTCAAATCAGATCTAGCCGAATGTCACTCTGTTGTCGATACATTACAGATAAATACATTAAACAAATTACCACAACACAGTAATCATAAGCCAGCTGCAGTTTGTATCACTGATCATTGTCACTGTTCTACACAATTGTCTATCTCTCGTTTCAGTCTGTTAAACATTTAGAGACCTTCCACAGTCCTTGGGAAGCACTGATACTCAATGTTGGCACATTCCAGAATTTTGTTTTATTCAGTCATTCAAAATATCTTTCAAAATTCACTCGGAAATGTAATTCTCCTTTGTGAAACAAATATGTTTTGGTTGCTTTCTCTTTTGTATTGGTCCTTAAATGTTCGTTGGTTTTTTTTCGTATTTTCCATGGAGTGAGGGAGTGAGTGAGTTAAGATTTTAAGTCACATCGGCAATATTTCAGCCATATCGTGACTAAAGCAAGTTATAAATATATCAACAATTTAAGTGAAATTAGAAAATTCTGCCGACGAAGGACAGTAAAATAACTAGATTATCACAGATATAGATATAAAACTAGTAACTAAATCTAAAACATTTGAACTATACAAGATGATACAATATAAAAACAGGCTATTGATCGCCAACAACTGAAATTAGATCACCATACTAGGGACCATGGGGACTTACAGTACATTTGCTTCCTGCATGGACCCTAGCTGGATTTACACCATCCCTTCAGCCACTGGCGACAGAAGAGAAACCTAGCCATAAATTAAAAGTACACATATTCTACGATTAAAAACCTGCCCTCTCAGGAGGACAATAATTTTACGCTACTTCAACCCCCTTTGAGGGTACAGCCACTAACAACATCAGTTACTAATTTAAACTACCAATAATAAAATATATATCTATTTACAAATCAGTTAGCAAGTCTATTTTTTTTAAAAAGGCAATAATTAAATGAGAACTTATATGACTAAAAAGATCCTGCATAGTTTTTACTTTGAAATAGATATCCCTTGTGATGGAATATTCCACACAGTCAAGCAAGACATGCTTGACCGTGATTCGTTCATCACAAGGGATACAAAACGGAGGATCCTCACCTTTCAATAGGTACTCATGCGTATATCTTGTGTGGCCAATACGACATCGTCGTATCATGACCTCTTCAAATCTGGACTGACAACCCAAGTAAGTGTAACCGATATAGGGTTTTATTGCATGTAATTTATTGATACCTACTTGGGTGTCCCACTTCTTTTGCATCAGATCACGGATGTAAGATCTAATGCAAGCTTTGTAATCAGAGTATGGGAGCAGAAGTGTTGTCACAGATTTGTTGAGTGCAGCCTTAGCAGCAATATCAGCCATCGTGTTCCCAGAAATGCCAACGTGGCTGGGTAACCAACAAAAGACGATGTCGCATTGGCCAGTAGCAAGCTCATTATACAATTCAATAATTTCTAATAAAAGTGGATGTTTGCAAGAAAGATTTTTAATAGCCTGAAGACACGAAAGAGAATCTGAAAAGATGATATATTGTTTATATTTACGGTGTTTATTAATATATTTAAGAGCTGTTAGTATTGCGTTTGCTTCTGCTGTGAAAATGGAACTGTCATTGGGTAATCTGGAAGATATTGTTTTGGACCCAATGACAGTGGCACAAGCAACCGCGCCACCATCCTTGGATCCATCTGTATATAAGGATTTATAGTTATTATATTTATTTCTTAATTGACTAAATTCTTGTTTATACTGTAAATCATTAGTTTCGGATTTTTTAAATGTGGTTAATGTTAAGTCAACGTCTGGCCTCACCAATTGCCAAGGAGGAGAAGAAAGAAGACGAGAAGGAGATATATTCTCCAGCTCAATGCCGGCAGCAGAAAGGAATGGTTTAATTCTGTGCCCAAGAGGCGGAACTAGAGAAGGCTTTTTGTTATACAAATCCTCATAAAGAGGAGTGAAGATGCAGTGAAACGCAGGATTAGACTCGATAGAATATAGCTTCGTAATATACTGTAATGATAATTTAATACGGCGTTGGGTAAGAGAAGGCTCATCTGCCTCGACGTAGAGACTGTCAACAGGAGATGTTCTGAAGGACCCAAGACAAAGTGTCAGACCTTGATGGTGGACAGAATCTAAGAGTTTTAGGTTGCTTTTGCAGGCTCCACCATATACGATGGAGCCATAATCAAGCTTCGAGCGGACCAGTGACCTATAGAGGTGGAGGAGGGTAGTTTGGTCCCCTCCCCAATTTGAATTAGAAACGACTTTCAATAAATCAAGTCCCTTCAGGCATTTAGTTTTGAGAGATTTGATATGCGGAAGAAAAGTTAAATGGGAGTCGAAAATGAGACCTAAGAACTTGGCCTCTTTTACAACCTTGATGGGAGTGCCATTTAAAAACAGTCTTTATGTGGTTTATATTTTCGGCAGAAGTGTATGCAATTAGTTTTTGATTTAGAAAATTTAAAGCCGTTTTCAAGACACCATTTATGTATTTTATTTAAACACAACTGTAGTTGCCGTTCAATAGTATGCATATTCTTACCGCGACAAGAAATATTAAAATCATCCTCAAAAAGTGATCCATCAATGGAATCGTTTAAAACCTTGGATAAACAGTTGATCTTAATGCTAAATAAAGTGACAGACAAAATACTGCCTTGTGGGACACCCTGATCCTGATTGTAATGGTCAGACAGGGTTGAACCCACTCGGACTTGAAATTGCCTGTCTTTTAAAAACTGTGATATAAAAAGAGGTAAACGACCCCTTAAACCAAAATCATGTAAATCCTTTAAAATGCCATGCTTCCAGGTGGTATCGTACGCTTTCTCGAGATCAAAGAATAGCGATACTGCATGTTGTTTATTTACTATTGCATTTTTGACAAAGGATTCTAAACGTACCAAATGATCAATGGTACTACGATTTTTCCTGAAACCACATTGAATATTTGTGATGAGATTATTGGTTTAAAGATACCATGACAGTCTATTATTTACCATTCGTTCCATGGTTTTACAGACACAACTCGTTAAAGAGATTGGTCTGTAATTTGATGGATCAGTATGATCCCGGCCGGGTTTTGGAATGGGGACGACAATGGCATTACGCCATGAAGTTGGGAAATTCCCTGAAGTCCATATTGAATGAAAAATATTTAGCAATGTTTCCAAACATGGTTCGGGCAAATGCTTCAGGAGCTGATAGTGGATATCGTCAGCCCCTGTTGCTGTATCATGAGCTTGCTCAAGGGCGGTATGTAGCTCATGTATTGAAAATAATTCATTATAATCTTCACCATTGTCTGAGTTAAAATGTAACCTTTTCTTCTCCTGTTGTTTCTGAAAGTTATGAAACTCAGGGACATAATTGGATGAAGATGAGTGCTTGGCGAGAGTTTCACCAAGTTTATTGGCAATATCAGTTTTATCAGTTAATAAATTATCACCATCCTTCAGATGGTGAACAGTAGATTTAGAACCTTTGCCCTTTCTTCTCTGAATCATGTTCCACACCTTTGACATAGGTGTGCGTGAATTTATTTTAGAAACATAAGTTCGCCAAGACTGACGCTTATTTTGTTTAAAAGCACGTCTAGCCTTAGCATTTAAAATTTTAACTTTGTCTAGATTATGGACAGTAGGATGTCGGCGAAAATACTTTTCAGCTTTCTTCCTACACTTTCTGGCCTGTTTACAGTCATTATTGAACCATGGCTTACGAAGGTGTGGAATTGCAGAGGACTTTGGTACAGTTTTGTCAGCAATGTTGTTCAGTATATCTGAAAATAACTGTATAGGATCTTCGCTGTTCGCAAAAATGTCATGTTTTAAGTGATCAGTACATAGTGTCTGATACAATGACCAGTTAGCCCTGGCAAAATTCCGTCGTGATAAAGGTGGATCATCACCAGGGTTGACCGCTTTGAGAATGGTGGGGAAGTGATCACTCCCACATAGGTCATCATGTACCCCCCATTCAAATTCATTATATACGTTGGAATCGGCGAGTGATAGATCCAGGGAAGAATATGTTCCCGTAGCTGGATGTAAATATGTGGCTGAGTCATCATTAAAAATACATAAATTATTATCGGAAATGAATTCCTCAAGGATTTTACCTTTTGTATTAGTATGGTCACTTCCCCAAAGTGGGTTGTGACCGTTCAGATCGCGCATGATGATACATGGCTTCGGAAGCTGGTCATATAGGTTTTTAAGATCCGACTGTCTAATATCAGTAGAGGGAGGAATGTATAAACTGCACAGAGTCAATGCAATATGCAGGGTGATGCGAACAGCAACAGTTTGAAGATTTGTACTAAGAGGAACAGGGCTGTGTATTATCCCTTGCCGTACCAAAATGGAAGCACCTCCAGTTGCTTTGTCTCCTGGAGGAGAGAAAGAGTGATAATCACTATACCGTCTCAGAATAAAGTTATCGGTATGTTTTAGATATGTCTCTTGGAGACATATAGCTGACGGTTGAAAATCCTGTGTTAGTAATTGAATCTCGTTGAAATTATGTTTGAGTCCTCTGCAATTCCATTGAATTATAGTGGACAATTGAGTCATGGTGCCTCAATTGGTGATCGTCCGCGTGAATGTGAGGAAGTGGATATTTTCCATGGACATAACAGAACTACTTAGTATATTTTGCCCAGTCAAATCTATATGATATCGTGGGAGGTGAAGAAACAAACTTTGCAAATGTAAACAGACATGTGTATAGGAAACCTGCAATCAAACATCACAACTTATGACAATTCAATTTTCCTTCCCCATATCCTACCTGTTATTCAACAAAGCCAGAAATAACAATCAGCTGTGTACAAATGTTTTGCTCCAATCTACCGGTGATTCAGTTAAAAACGAACTCAAAATATAACATCAAAGAATTTATTCCACCACCAAAATGAGTGAGTGAGTTAAGATTTAAAGTCACATCGGCAGTATTTCAGCCATATCGTGACTAGTTCTAATCTCATTATACATACATATAATATATAAAACCTTGTCAACGAAGGACAGTAAAATTACTCGACCACCAGAATAATTTATATCGCAAGCAGTTATTATAACAGAGATAATAAGTATGTATTTCGTATTTGTATTATGCATGTTTTCTACGAACATATTTAAAATAAAAATTAACATTGGCTCACCACTTATGTGGCTGGATACATTTTACGTATGAGACAGTTTGACTAGTCACCGGTGACTTCCCACCGAGCATGACACTTTGATTGTAAAACAAAATGTTGACAAATATTTCTGAAACATGAGTTATTAACGCTGGTCTAGGGGTCCATGGATGATGGAGGCGGTGATCAGTTCGTGATTGCTGAGAATAATGTGAAATTGGAGCTGTCGCGGTAGGCGTGAAAAGCAGATCCTCCTGAACATGGTAAGCGGAAGTGGTACTAGTATAGAATGATGTGATGCCATTCCACACACGTTTTCTCTGAAGTTACTGTAAACAGATTTTCTGTGAATGAATATGGGAGTAAATTTAATCAAATAAAATCGAGGTGGATAGTTTTATTATGAGATTTTACACCATAGATTTTCGGATGGCATGTTTACTCTCGCTTTGTAACGTGAGTGTTGCATCACAGCAAGCATGGTAAGTACTCGGCTGATGGTATGTCTTTATGATAAAGTTGTCTTTTAAAAGTTTTTACGATGTTCCGCTGTCTGTCTGATTTGAAATTACTGAAAAAGAAACAGAACCCAGCTATTGATCTGGTATCTGTATTTGCTGTCTTGCTGACTTTGTAAATAGACGGCTTGAGGCGATCTTAAACTTAATTTCAGCAATGAAATGCATAGATATTGATAAAATGATTCAATTTCTAGACGTTTTGTAAACGATTTTAAAAGGTTAATAAAATTACGGTAAGACCACCGAAAATACTGATTATTTGGATTGCAGTATGGTACACCGAACCTACCACTGTTCAACTTATACCGCGATATACCGTTTCACCCCTACTAAGTGCCGCCAATCAAAACATCACCATTATGCCGGCTAGAAGGTGGGGAGTCGCAGTCTGCAGTTGCCCGACATTTCAACGTTTATCAGAGCACCATATCTCGCCTTAAGCTTTAGGGTCGTTTCCTGTAGACAAATTCAGAGAATAACCAAACTGTGGGTATTCGATTGCATGAAGTGGAAATTCGACCAGGAACACGTTTTGTCAAGCCTGTTTTGAGAGACTTCCTTCGGCAATCGCTTGCGAGTCCGGAACTGGAATCTGATAAACTGGAGGCGAGTCTAGTTCAGTAATGAATCATTTTTACTTCTTCACTGGCGAGATGAGATACAGGAGGAGAAATGAACGTTTCACTCCTAACTGCCTTCGACAGGTGGACATATTCTGCGGAGGGAGTGTCGTGGTGAGTGGTGCAATATGCTGCTCTCAAAGTTCTAATTTTGTGGTGGTTCAGGGGAACTTGACAGAAACTCGGTACATCGCAGAGTCTTTGCATGTCACATGATTCCAATTATGGACCGACAGAGGGAGTTGCTCCAGCATGACAATACTACTTCACATAGAGCAGCCGTCACCGTCCACTTCCTTGTCAATTCTAAGGCCAATGTCTTGCCATGGCCTTCCAGATGCAAACCGGATAGAACACATGGGGTGAACTCGATCGACGTGTACGTCAACGTCAAAACACGCCTCAGACACGTCCACAATGGCCATCTCATTGCAATTGGTGAGAATCCCGCAAGAGCATTTCCGTCAACTTACCCGGTCTTTGCGGAGAAGGTACGGAGCAGTGATTGCTGCCAATGGTGGCAATACAAAGTATTGACGTTGACGCCATGTGGAGGATTCAAATAAACAGAAAAACGTTGAAAAATGTTGTGCTGGCAGACTCATTGTCTATAGCCGTCTGGATTTTCACCTGTCTGTCATTGACATTACATGAAATAACTGCTCTTAAACTAATGCAATATTTTTTTTTTTCTAAAATGGCTTACGTTTCTCTTTTTGTTTGGAAGAGACTGTGCTTTCCTCAACATTGGAGTTCACTTAGATGTTCTTACCTCCACATGTGTTGTGTAAAGGAGCTCCCCTCACCTCAACTTCACACAAAGTTAGAGGATTGTCACCGAAGCAGTACTGGACTATTCTCACGTAACGTCCAATAGTGTTGACGGCACAGTCCATGTCTACCGTCCGACCTTTGCCTACTGTGCCTTCATGCCAGTAGCAGAGTTGGAGGCCAGAGTCAGTGCTGGTCCTTGGGTCACTAATATGGACCTCCACACTGAAGTTGGTTAACCTGGTGTCTGGGTAAAAAAAACGAAATATGTTATAGTGATGTAGCCTAAATTCTTATACAAACGTGAGGTAAATGCATATTGAAAATCATCTCAACAGAATGAATGAACGAGGCAAGTACACCCGATATTGAATGAGTGAGTGAGTTAGAAAATTTCGTCACAAGGGCAATATTGCAGCCATTATGTGACCAGAAATTGAACATAAAAAATAGGAAGCCTGTCATCGATGGACAGTATAATAAGTAGAATAGCACATATATAATATAACTACCTGATAGAAGTATAGGAAAACAGGAAATGTAAAATCTGGCTATAGTTCGACAGTAGCTAAGGTAGAACACCATACTACGGACCATGGGCACTTACAGTACTTTTGCTACCTGTATGAACCATATCTGCATTTCCGATATCCTCTCTGGCAAGTTAAGCCAGAATTTAAAATCACGCATTGACAAGCCGTTTTCCTCACTTCTCACCCGGTATAGTGACTTCAAACCCACTATCCAAATTTATACTCAAGACCTCCAAAACAGGTGGGACTCCCAACTAGGAAGAAACAAACTTCACGAAATGAAACCAACAATTGGTTATACCAATCCGCGTTTGTCAAGGGAAGGTTTATTAGAATCCGCATATAGACTCTCTACCTGAAAGGTCATAAAAGATCCCAGGCAGAGCCTTAGGCCTTGGTGGTGGATAAAATCTATTGTTTTTCTAAATTGCTTTTGTAGGATCCACCATAGACAATGGAGACATAATCTAATTTAGAGCGAACCAATGATCTGTACAAGTGAAGGAGGGTACTTTGATCCTCTCCCCACTCTGTATTTGAAACGACATTAAGCAAGTCACAGGGCCTTCAAGCACTTTGTTTACAAATATTTTATGTGTGGTGAGAATGTCAAGTGAAGGAAGTGTATGAGTCCAAGGGATTTGTCCTCTTCTACTGCCTTGATGGGGTCCCATCTAAAGATAGGTCTGAATCCTTGGGTGATTTGTATGTACGACAAAAGTGAATATAATTTGTTTTGGATTTTGAACTTACAGCCGTTCTATATGATAGGTAAATAATGCACTATGGTCTTGTTACTGCAGACATTATTAATATTTCCATGTACGCTCTTGTTCTTATGATTGTGTGCTGGAGCTTCAGAAACAAGGAAACATAACTCTGTCCCATAGTCAATGCACAACGTCTTCACAACGTGTATATACACACAGAAAAAGTCAACACACACACGCGCGCGCGCGCGCACACGCACGCACGCTCGCACGCACACACACACACACACACCGGTTTGTTCACAATGCCAATGGCAAAAGGAAAAACATGTTAGGCCTGTAATGGCCCTAAATGCATGGACATTCAAATGTCATCTGGTAGAACAACCATCTACCAAGACAGAAACGCAACATGTTATCACAGGTACTGGTTTTACCCGGAAAGAAAACCCCCAAAACTATGGAGCTGCAAGTCAATGAAATGGTGTTGACAATGATATTGTCACATAAAAATGTTCCTTGAAGATAATGGTGTTTGTGTTCAGTGAGACTAATCAGTACAGGTTGGACCCGCCAGGTACCCGGATGACGCATTCCACACTACGACTCATGCTTCCAGTCAGACGTTGGATCTGTTCTCAGGTCAATGACAACCACTCTGGATGCAGCTCTGCCTCCACATGATGTAAATTCTGTACTGGAGGGTTCCGTGCCTGGATTCGCCGCCCTATAATTTCCCACACATACTCCAGAGGGTTCGGATCTGGGCTTAAGGCTGGCTAGGGTAAAGTTGTCACTGCATTGGTCCTGATGTAATCCACTAGGGCATGTGATTGATGAGGCTTGGCGTTGTCGTCCATGTACTGAGGTCGTGTAGCAAGAGGATGGTTATCGAAATGAGGGACGACAACTGGCTTTATACATCCCGTATGTATCGAGCTCCCCTGATGGTGACCAACTCCAACTTGCAATCGTGAGAGAGGCATCCCCACACCATGACAGATCCTCCTCCATAGGCAACAGTTGGCAGAATGTTCCTGGGGGTATAAGCTGTGTCCTTATGCCTCCAAACACGTGTACGTCCATCAGTAACATGCAGTAAGGAGTGGCTTTCCTCCGACCAATGGATTTCCTCCAGATCCTGAGATTCCAGTATGGTCTGGCTAAGCACCATGCCAAACGTGCAGGTTCAACAAGGGACCTTCAGTGGATCTTCTGGCCTTCAACCCTGTCGTTTGGAGACGATTTCCTCCGACTGTTCTGGTACTGATGGGTCGATTGGGTAACCACAGTCTTTTCAGCTGATGACTTGTACTGAAGGGTTCTCGGCGTGCATGTCGTATCATTTGTCAGTCCTCACGCGGTGCAGTTACAGGAGGTCTTCCAGACCTTGGACGGTCCATTGCACTTCTGGTCTGCGCATGTTTCCGGATTAAACGGCTAACAACGGTGTAATGGTAGCCCAGATTTCGTCCAATCGCCTAAAAGGACATTCCTGGGGTATGCATACCAATAATCTGATTCCTGGTGTCGATTGACCATCGTCTCCGTGTCATGTTCAATGAATATGCTTGAATGGCCGTTTCAGCCAACGGTAAATACCCACAAATACACCTGGGCCATGCTGCTTTGTGTGTTCCTCGGGGGTATCATGTTGCACGTGCATGTCACAAGCGCCACGAGCGCGATTATCTCGCATCACTGGTTTTATTATCTCGCGCAAACTCTGCTTTTCCCATAATTTTACCTTGCGTCATTATTTCAAATAATGGGAGAAAAAAATATCAGGGGGTGCTTAACTTTTTTCTTTGTGCACATGTAATGTTCAAGTAACGTTGTGATATAACGTTATAAAATGACATAATACCGATGTTATGAAAGTTGTATTCTGACGTTACCAATGTACAACCTCTCCAAAACATCGTGTGTTAGCTGGGGGATTTACACTTACCCATTAAAGAGCCGATCCTAACGGGTATTGGGGTTGATTAACAAGAGTGAGATAATTGCCAGAACAAAAAGTCAACGATCTGACCCACCACAGCCTCCACAAAAAGTGGAAGGCTGACCACTTGTCCCCATCATACATAAATTATCACGACTCAGAAATGTGTCGTGTATTCGTAGCACCTGAATGTAAACTGGTCATTCCAAATTTGCAACCGACGAATGACTTCCTACGTCCCAATATTCCCAAATGTTGACTACAGTGAGTTAAACATAAATATATACAGTCTCCGGATCTTAGTTAATTGTTTCTAGTTCCAAACTGTGAATGTATGCTCTCAAGAAAGTAAAGTTTGTTGAACAATGAATATGGTGATTTGGTAGAGTCGGTATAATGACGAAGCCTAAAGAATAAGATACACTCAGTTTCATATGGTATTACAGCTTAAAGTTCTGCTGAAAACACTTTTTTTTAAATTACTTACGGCAACAGTCTCCCCTGTTGGTAACCGACACCGTTAGGAACAAGATGATCTGTTGAAGATCTACCTGCCACCACTGTTTGGACGATAGACAGGTAGCATTGGTGTGAGTACAACTTCCGGCATGGACATCGGTGTGCTTTACTCCGTCAACAGCCCGGTCAGATGTACGGCTACTGGCTGTTGAGATCTGGTCTGTGGGCTTGTTCAACGCAAGGTTTGGTAGATCCACACCTGGACAAGGAGAATGTGGTTGTTTACATTACGTCTAACATGCCTTGCGGGACATTGATGGAAATAACCAGACAGTGTGGACGCCACTTTTACATGAAATTGTCTGTTGTTTTACTCATTAACGTCGAGAGACACATACGTGCGACAATTAATTAGCCCCAAATTAGTAGTAATGAACAAAGATTAGCATTTCTTACAAGAGATGCTACCTTTAGTGTAATCAGATTATGTTTTGATAGCAATTGCTAATCATTATCATAGGCTTATACAGTGTTTGGTAAATGAACACATGTCGGCGAGAAAGGGCATTATGACATGTTTTTACAGAGGTAAGTGCCCGGTACTCTTCATTTGGAATGGATACTAAAATACTTTTTATGCACATTGGTTGAATTAGATGTAATGGTTTAGAGGTTACTGAAGATTACATTTTCTTCAACTACCTAATAAATACAAAACAATATACGAAATTTCAAGGATATACAAAGAATTCAAACACAATAGAATATATACATGTCAGTGTTATTACACTGGGATCTTTAACCGCATTTGTTACAAAACACAGTTGGTAATTCAAACAATTCTTAGACATAGACAGAAGTAATATCATAAGCTATTACATGTAGACCATACAAAGGTATTTCAAGCATTTAGTAGTAATGCATAAAACGGACATTACATGCCGGGGGAAATATATTCGACGCCTTGTCCGTCTGTCAGTCCGTCCGTCCATCTGTATTCATTTTGTTTCTTGAGCATAACTCAAAAACCGTTCTATATTTTTCAGCAAAAATTGGTCGTATTAAACAGAACCTAAGGTGGTGCCGTTTGCTATTTACAACGTTTTGTCATTTTAATTTTTCTCGGTTTCCATGGAAACGTTTTGGACTTAGTCTTAAAGGGAGGGGTGGGCTTCGTGTCCGGAGCATAACTAAAAAAAGCATTCAATATATTTCTACAAAACTTGGTAGATATATCAAACAGATCTTGAAGTAGTGCCTTTGGTATTTGCACATGTTTACATTTTTTATGATTTCCATGGGAAATTTAAGTTGCACTTTAAGTAACTGCCAGATGATTCGTTCTTCCAAATTGATGGCGGCCGATTTTGTTGTCATGTTCTGATGACTCTTCTTGTTCAAGCTGTTGAAAGTTTCAGGTTGATTTGAATGGTCAGTTTCCCATGCAATTTAAATGAGCATTGTGCAAAAACTTTGTATTTGATCTCTGTATTTATTTCCACGGTCCCTAGTATGGTGATCTACCTTCAGTTGTTGGAGATTTATAGCATGTTTTTA